CAGGTTCAACCTACCTGGAGGTCTTTATAATCAACAGCCTCTTATTAAGACAAGTTACACAAAAAATGTTCAACGGTCAATCTCAAAGTACTCACAATTTTGTTGGTAAATAGGCTGCGGTGTCATCTTTACTTCTGATAATGTCATTACATTTTTCAAGTGTTTGAAAAACAGTGAAAGTATCCCCAATGCTATAGAGGGCTGCGAGATTTTTAGCTAACAATTTTCGTGTAGGTGGTCCGGGTGAACTGCTTATTAATCCAGTTAATTGTTCAACAAGTTTTTTCTGTTTTTCCTTAACATCAGTCTGTTATAAAAGAAAATAAAGAACACCATTTTTTTTCTTTTTTTCCTTTTTAAATTTAATTTTTATTGTATTTTTTTCCATTACCATTTAGTCCCCTTATAGCCTCCTCCCCCAGCAGTCACCACACTGTTGTCATATCCATGAGTGCTTTTTCCTCTTTGCTCAATCCTTCCACCCTCTGAACCCCGCCCTCTGCCCCCAACTAGCTGTCATCTGCTCTCCATCTACAGGGTCTAGCAGCAGTAAGGCTTGCTTGAGTGTGGTTGGTAGGGTAATAATAATGGGTGTAATATTTCATAGTTTTAATTTAAACACTTCACCTAAAATGTTGTATGGTGTGCTTGAGTGTGATATTGTCATGTTACAGAATTACATGCTTATGACTTCGTAATAAAAAGAGGGCATTATTTGTGCCAGACCCTGTATGAGTCTGTCTCTGTCCAGACTTGTTTCTTGTATGTACTTTTCTTGCCTTTTAGTCAAAATAAAAATAGTTAAGGTACTCTAATAATTCAAATCTATATTACTTTAGGCATAAAACCATAAATGAAAATTTTCAAGATGAGTCCAGTAAGAAATGAATCATTCATTGCTATATTAAATAGTCTCCTTCATTCCCCTCCATAGCCAAAAGTTAGTTGCCAATGAAAGTGACTACTCCTGACTCAAGTTTTCATGCCAACCCACTAAGAAATAAACCATACTTCAAGGACATAACATATTGGGCACACGGACAACTGATGTCTTAGAACCCAGATAAGCTCTCCTTGAAAAGCAAAGTCAGTAGTCCAAAACATTATATAGGTCAGTGAAGGGATTCAAAAGAAACTCTGAAGGAGCCCTAGGAAACAGAAAAAATACTCAGATCTACCCGTAATCAATACTAAAAATTCATTCATTCATTCAATGTATATTCTGCATTTATATGCCATGCCCTATTCTAGGCACGAATAGTCTAGGCAACAGTGAACACGACAGACCAAGTCTATGCCCTCATGAATTTACATGCTAGAGAGGAGACACAGAATTCGCCAACTAAATGAATAAATAATGAGCTTACTACCTTAAGTTGATTAGTGAGGAAAGGCCTCTCTAAAAAGAAGTAAATGTGTGAGATATGCAAATATCTCAGAGGGGAATATTCCACACAGAGGGAGCTGTGTAAAGGCATGGAGGGAGCATGCTTATCATGCTTGAAGACAGTGAGAAGGCCATTTAGGCTGGAGCAGAATAAGAGACAGGATGTAGCAAGAGATGAAATTAGAAGAGAAGGGACTTGATTGTGTCGTATTTTATTCTGAGAGCTTGAAGCAGAGGAAGGAAGTGATCTAAATGTTTTAACAGGCTCATTCTGACCACTGAGCTAAGAATACTTTACAAGGTACGTATCAGAAGCACAGTGAGCACTTAGGAAGCTTTTGCAATTATCCAGATAAGAGATGAGGATGGTAACAATGATGAAAAGTAATTTAATTCTGGGTATATTTAGTGGATAGATCCAACAGGATTCACTTGAATATGATGAGTAAGAGAGTAGTCAAGAGTGCCTATAAGGTTTATGACCTGCACAATTAGGAGGCTGGAATGGGCATTTCCTGAAATGGAGAGCATTGGGGAAAGGACAGGTTTGGAGGGGGGAAGTCAAGAATTCAGTTTTGAACATGTTAACTTTGAGATGCTGTTTAGATAGCCAAGATAAAGCGGTAGAGTGTTTCACGGTATATCTTAGAGTCATTACTGTATAGATTGTAGTAAAAATCTAAAATTAGATATCACTCTAAGAGTAAGTATAGATTTTTAAAATAAATTTTTATTTCATTTTTTAAAGATTTTTACTTATTTACTTTTAGACAGAGGGAAGGAAGGGAGAAAGACAGGGAGAGAAACAACAATGTGTGGTTGCCTCTCGTGCACCCCCTACTGGGGACCTGGCTCACACAACCCAGGCATGTGCCCCAACAGGGAATTGAACCAGCAACCCTTTGGTTTGCAGGCCAGTGCTCAATCCACTGAACTACACCAGCCAGGGCTTTATAGATATTTTTTAAAAAAGAAAAAGAAGGCTGCCCAGGACTGAGAAAGAACTAACAAATGGGAATGAGGAATAACTAGTGAAGTAGGAAAAGAACTAAAAACAAATGGTGTTTTGGAAACCACAAATAGGATGCAATGTGCATACACAGTAACAATAAAAATCAATTGTTTAATTTGAATGGAGGGTGTACAGATGTTCCTATTATTATGCTTCATAACTTAGATAACTTTGTATATATTCTTTTGTATTTCTAATTTTCACAAAATAAAAAAATATCCAAGTGTTTCAGGTAGAAGATCAACTATGTCCATTAATACAGAATACTGACCCATTGGTTTGGGCAATTTGAGATACTAATGACTGGACAAGAGCTGTTCAGTGAAGTAGAGGCAACAAATGCTCAATGGGAGGCGGTTTAAGAGAAAATAGGAACGTCTAGTTAAAGAAGCCTTACTAAAAGGCCTTCTTTTAAAACTAAAGGGCAACCCAAAAAAAGGCAAAAGTCCACAAGAATAAAGAAAGAGGAAAAGAATCAATGCAAAATATAGAAGTCAAGTGTCCCCAACAGGGAAAGCTGAGAAGAGACCCAATTTACAACAAAAAATCCTCTAAAAGCTCATGTTGTCTGTTGTTGCTGTTTCAAGGCTCTAGGCACGTATGGGAAAGCTATGTCTAGAAGTGGAGGGAAAGATTGAGACTCTAAGAAGCTGTAAGACTCCCTATTTCCCTCCTCTGTGTTCTGGATATACGGAGCCCAGGCACAGCTGTGTGCTGGGAAATGGCACTGAGAACATGGGGATTGAGTGAAAGTTTGCACGCTGAATGTATAGGTTCCCAGCCTTCTCCCTCAATTCCTAGAACCTGAACAACTAGTCACACACCCTAGAACACAAGAGTACAACAGTCTCCTCTGGGGAATGAATAGCCAAAAAAAACCTATGGAACTACCATCAAGGGGTCCTCAAAGAACTAGACTAGCCTACGATGAAGTGCAGTTAACAAACTTCACCCCGCCCAGAAAACATTTCTACTACTCACTCTTATATTTAAGTAGACAACCAAAGAGCATCAGATGTTTGAGGAAAGCATCTAATTTTAAAGACAAAATAAAACACACAGATAATGAAAAGCCACACAAAGATAATGAAATAGACTATGCAGGAGGAAGAAAACAGAAGGAAAGCCTATTATTAACTCCTTAGAAAGATGAATGAAGACATTGGGATTGCTACACAACACCGAGGGACCACCCAAAGCTGGAGATGATGTATTTAAAGTGACAGCAGTCATAGAGTCATGTTGTCCTCCAGTCACACTCAGCCGTCCAGGTACAGGCATGAACAAGGTAACAAGGTGGGTTTAAAGGAGGTTTGGGTTTTGCCACAGAATAAAAAGGTACAGAAAGAAATTCCCATTACAGTGTAATATTCTCAAGATCCATAACTGACCCACAACCTTTCCAAAAATGCTTTCTCACAAATCATGAACACATAATATTCTTGACTGTGTTAACTGGAGGGGAAAAAAAAAGCAATACCATACCTTGTTGGCAGCAACCAAGACTTTATCAAGAAATCGCAACCATTCGAAGATAAAAACTGGCCTCTTTGCTTCAGTGATTTGAGCCAAAGCTTCTTCGTTTAGCAATAAACTGTGGGCTAACTCCATTACTGAAGTTTTAAATTCACACCTTAAAGTAACAAATTAAAAAAATACTCGTATGTTAAAAGTTCAGCATAATGATTGTAACCACGAAGAAATGAAATCAAGCTTTACTGCTCATTTCCTCTGAAGGAAACATTTGATGCAAAACCTGAGAACTAAATTTTAAACAGGAATGCAAAACAGTGAAAGAAAGTAATGATTCGTGAGGAAGAATAATGGGGTAAAAGACTGAAATAAATATTGCAAATGAGGCGTTTTTTCCAGAAAAAAAATATGCCTAGAAGAAACACATATCATTAACCCATTCCATAAGTTGGAAAACTGAAGCAGCAAGACCAAACGCCAGCCCGGCCTGACAACCCAGCCTCCTTTTTTCTTGTCCACTGCTGGGTGCACAGCACCCTTACCCCTCCCCTGCTGCACCTTGCCTAGGAGTATATCAAAACGTCCCAGCAGGAAGATCCCACACTGGAAGTCCCCCAGAGTCTTCCCACAACCAAGAGGTGGGGACAGTCAGGTCCCCCCAGCCAAAGCTTCAGGGACATCCGCGGGCAGTCCCAGAACGCAGGCAGCAGAGGCTGCACGCGCTGCAGATCTGGGTTAACACGACTCCTCTGAAGTCCATAGCACAGGGCAGGGCCTGGGGAAAATGAAGCAGGCCGCCACAGACCTCGGTGGTCACTCGGGCTGTCAACCCCAGGAGGCGCGGGCTCGGAATCGAGTCCGGCGTTGGAAAAAGGAAAAAGTTCTTTACGAATGGGCCAGGGGAGTGTGTGCGCGTCAAAGTGCAGGCTTTGCCGGCAGATAAGGCGGCCTCACCTCCTAGTCTGGCAGGGGCCGATCAGCTGAGCTCCAGCCCCAAGCAGCCACCAAGGTACCCGGATGCCCCGCCTCCCGCACTCCTGCTAGCAGGAAACGGGGGGAGAGCGCGTGCGCAGAAAGTTGACATCGCGCAAGCGTACTAACCACGTCCTCCTAGCCCCTCCTGCCGCAAGTTTCCCCTAAACTGCACACGGAAACTCGGGTACGGGCAGACGTGCTGACGTTCTGCGCAGGTCGGTGAGCACCTGAGCCGCGCGCACTGTAGTCAGCTGGCCCGGGGCTAGCAGAGCTGTCAGGTAAGGGGCTGGAGGCACCGGATAGAATGATAAAGGGCAGTGATCTGTGTGCTGGTCGTCACACCATCACCCACATTCCCACCCGAAGTGGTCGCGTACGTGAGACGCTTTCGGTCGGGAGGGACGCGAGAGGGTAGGGATCAGTGGTCCCTGAGGGGAGTGTTTGAGACTGAGGCATTTTTTGTCACCTTTCTGCTGTACATCTAACTACATGGCCCATCTCTCCATTAGGTTGTGTAGTCGGACCCTCGGTGTGTCTGAAGCAGCACTCTTGTTGCTACCTCCCTGCCCTCTCTTTGCCAAAACCAAAACTAAACAAACTCTGCAACGACCCCTCTCAAAAACATTCTTTCAGATAATCACGCCAACAGCCTTGACGTAATCCTTTACATCACCCCCAATCCATCAGCAAATCTTCAAAGTAGCTTACAAAATATATACAGAGCGTGACCAGTTCTTACCACTTCCACTGCTGTCACTGTGCTCCGAACCACCGTCATCTCTGCCCGGTTCTCCCCTTGTGAAGTTTATCCTTGTGCTTGATGGGAATGGGGGATGCTGAGGTATATTGTACCCATAGAAAGGGAGCTTTAAATAGGGGTTACCGATTCTTTTTAAAGATCTGCCTAGCACTTTGGGGTCTAATGGGTCCCTTAAAAATAATTGAATCCCATTTGCAGTAGCAGGAGCCCTGAGGCCTGGATTCTTTGTCACGTTGAGCGAGTCATTTAGCCATACTGAGTCTTAATTTCTCCAACTAGTAAGCAGGACTAACTATATTCTTGCCTTGTAGAGTTTTTAATGATGATTAAATGGGTTCGTAAATGTGTGATACACTGGGTAAGGGCTAAGTCGTTATGTGTAAAAACACTGTTACTACAAATGAAGAGTCTGGTGAATGAATGATCACAAATGCTGAATATAATCTTCCACATTTTTAACTTATTATACTATAATAAAAAGAAAAGTAGGCGAAACTAAACTGTAATGTTTAAAGATGCACAAGTGGATGATGAAACTGCAGAAAAGGGGGTGACTAGGAGTACAGTTGAATAGGGGACAAAAAGGGCCAACGAGGTTCTGCCTCCTGATGTGAGTGGTGGTTTGTATTATCTTTTACTGTATAACAAATTATCCCAAATTCAGCAGCTCGAATAACTATAACCATTTCTTATATCACAGTTTCTCTGGATCACAAAATTGTTACTAGTTTAGCTTAGCTCGGACTTTTGTAAGAAGTTGTAGTGAAGATGCCAGCCCAGGCTGAGTCATTTCAAGGCCAGACTGGCACTAGAGGGTCCATTTCCAAGGTAGCTCCCTCATGTAGCTCTCATATTTGTGCTGGTTGTCAACAGGAAGCCTCTGTCCCTCCCAGGTGGACCTCTCCATAGAGCTGGTTAAGTGTCTTCACTACATGACAGCTGACTTCATTCAGAGTGAGTACTTACTACTTCTAACTAGTGTCTTTTGTGACCAAGCATCATACTCCATCATGGCCACAATATCCTATTGGATACACAGGTCAGTTCTGTTTCCGGTGAAAGGAAACTACACAAGGACGCTGAAAACCAAGAGGCAGGAATCTTTGGGGACCACCTTGGAGGCTACCACCCGATTATACGAGTATTTGCCTCATAATAATTCATTAAGCTGTACATTTTTGTGTGGTTTTCTGTATTGATGATATATTTACACCAAGAAAAAAATCAGACATGACAACACAGGGGAAATGTATTTATTATTACAAATATTGTTAAAGACCCTTTTCCCCTTGTTACTGAACATCAAGAATTGATGATGTTTGGGACACAGTTGTGTAGACATTGGGCACATAGGGGACTACTTACCTTTGTGGTTTACAGCCCAGTTGGGAAGACAAACATTAAAAACTAGGACAGTAATATTTTTTTTTATCCTGTGGAATTGTTCAGACTCTTGGTTGCAGTTGACAGAATCCCCACTCCCACAGGCTTAAGTAATGAGGAAATTTATTAGCCTCTGTAGCTTGGAAGATTCATAGGTCACGGCATCAAATAAAGAGTTACAGAAATCAGGGTGTTGGGACCTACGTTGGAGACTCATTGCTTTTAGGCCTGTTTTCTCTATCCAGCTTCATTCTGCAGGACAGCATCTCTCCATATGGCCAAGAAGAGGGCCGTCTGCAGCCCAGCTTCACCTACTTCTAGTTCAGAAACCCCAGTGAAGAGAGTTTTCCCCCCACATTCCACATATTCATATCATGTAAGGAAAGAGAGGTTTCTTTGCCCTGTTAGGTCCTCTGTTATGGGGGTGTGAAGTACCATAATTAGCCGTTTTATGCTCAAGAAACGTATGGAGATTGTCGCCCTCCTCTCGAGAACAAGGTGGAGGCCAAAGGGCTGGGTTCCCAAAGGAAAACATTAACATCTCCTGGGAGCCTGTTAGAAATGTGTAACCTCAGGCTCCAGCTCAGGATCAGACTCTGCCTTTTAAGATCCTGGTGCAATTCACATATGCAATAAATTTTGAGATGCACTTTTCTGGATAATTATTTTACCCATTTACGGACCAGTAATTAAAGCATGATTTGGCTGTATTGGATGGGGACTCTCCTCAAAAAGTTTCCATATAGGTGAGGTGTTAGTTAACTCTATGATGTTCCAAATGAGCAGCTAATATAAAATGCTGTAGAGGCCCAGTTTTTGCAACCTGAACCTAGGACGAAGAAAACATCAGCATTATGTTCAGAGGGCAAAGAGAAGCCTGTGTGGCTCCAATAATGAATCCTAAAGAGAGTCAGGGGTCAGATTATGGAAGGCTTCTGCTACAATGTTAAAGCGACTGGTTCTCCTCTGCCTATAGGGCAAAGTTTATTGAAGGATTTGAAACAGCAAGTAACGTGACCTGACTTACATTTTTAAAACACCATGGTGGAGAAGGTGGAGAGGATGGATTGGAAGAGGAGAAGCCAAAGGCAGTGAGACCAATTAGGAAGCAGGTGGAATAGCTCCGGTGAGAAAGAAATACCTGAACTAAGGTAGTGGCCACAACTATAGGGGAAAATGCCTATGAGGGGTATTATAGAGGAAGAAGTGACAGAGATTTCTAACAGGTCGGGAATGGGGAGATGGTAGTGACTTTAATTTGGAAATACAGGTGATGAAGGAAATTTGGGATAGAGGAGAATGAGTTGGAGGGATTGTTGAGTTTGAGAGCTCCACACAGGAAGTTGTCAAAAGGTCCCGTGGATGTGGAGTAGAGCTCTGGATAAAGTTCATGGCTGGAGATACAGAAAGGTTTATTTCCATTTTGTAAACTAAAAAAGGAGTAACTGTTACTTTATCCTCTTTGAATTGCAGATACTTTTGTCATACGAAGTTGAACATGGCAGAAGAAGAGGACTATATGTCAGATTCCTTCATTAATGTCCAGTAAGTAAGTGTGAACACTTCACGTAATGATACGTATAAGGCATTAATGTAGACTCTTAAGCAATGACATTGACTTTAAATGTGAGGGTGGAAAGTTAGTCTGACTGCTTTAGGGGAACACAGTCCTCATGTCTACACAGAGACACTAGGAGCCTCTTCCCTTTTAGTGCTAAGCATTTTACTTCTGCCCTTGATTCTTTTTAGTTCCCGTCCTCCAAGGAGCTTTACTTTTTTCCTTTATTTCATCTTATAGTCTCTTTTAGCTGCTATTCACCTTTGCCCTTTATTGTCGACAAACGCCTTAGAAAAATTAGTTGGAACTTTTTTCCAATTTCTTCAACTGTGTGCTTTGTTTAGTTTTCCGCAATCTGGCAACAACTATCATCATTTTCACTAAAACAACTATTCTTGGAAGTCACTGATGCATTCTAATATAGATGATAACAAAGATGATGAGAGAGGTAGCACTGAAATATGAGTAAGTATCAGAGTCATGGGAAAACTTCACATACTCATCTAAAACAACCTTTTCCTTTATTCTTCAGAGAAGATGTTAGACCAGGATTGCCAATGCTGAGGCAAATTCGAGAAGCTCGTCGAAAAGAAGAAAAGCAGCAAGAAGCTAATCTAAAAAATAGGCAGAAGAGTTTAAAAGAAGAAGAACAGGAAAGACGTGACATTGGGTTGAAGAACGCACTAGGCCGTGAAAACAAAGGGTTTGCTTTGCTCCAGAAGATGGGATATAAAAGTGGTCAAGCCCTTGGCAAGAGTGGTAAGTCACATCCAGAAATAAAAAGGTTTTCTTACCACCAGGTGGTGTCCATGAATACCAGAGATGTCTCTTTAATCTTACTCATCTACACAAAAATTAAAACAACTTCAACTTCTTAGTCTGTTACGTGCTAACAACCTTTATGGAGAACTTTCACCTTTCCACACCCACTGTAGGCAATGCTGGGTATCAGCCCAGCTCAAAGGCACCGACGGCAGGGATGGACAAAGCTTAAGTGGAGGCCACAGCTAAGCGTGGCGACAAGAGAAGGGTTGAGGAGCACAGTGGCAGAAGGGTAGTGAAGACACATTGAGGATGATGTCAGGACCCTGCCCTGTTGGCGGTGTACCTGTAGCAGCTGCCTGAGTGACCGCCATGCCCGTTGGAGAGTCTCCGTTCTCACCTCTCTTTTTAGGAAGTGAGACTGTTTATTAAGATACAAAGTCCGTATATTTAAAGTACCTTCTGTAAGGTGTTTCTTCTCTTTATTGTAATTGCTTTGATCTTCATCTAGCAAGGCTGTCACTGTCTTGGATGTTTGATATCAGGCTTTCACTTCTTAAAGCCCTGCCTTAAGGTGACATAGGAGGCTGTGGGTCAGCCTTATTGAGGACTGGGGTTAAAAGGCAGTGATTGATTTAGCATACTGATATTCAGATTTCAGTTTGAATATTATTGAAACAAGAGGGAATCTGTATCAAACATTATAAAGTTGCACACTGTGCTTGTGTTTTGAAGAATTTCTGAAGTACTTTGTGTTCTGTTCTCATTTTTTTAGGAGATGGTATTGTTGAACCAATTCCTCTCAATGTCAAAACAGGTATGTAATTATTTTTAGGGATACTTACCAGTAATGATATGGTTATGCTTATATCTAACACATACATTTGCTTAATAAATATTTTTATAGTAGTGCTGTTACAGTTCTTACCATACGAAGCCCTCATTAAAATGTTTCTTTGTTAAACTTCTAAACTAAAAATAGAAAAGTTTTAGTATAAAATAAAATTTAAATCATAAAAATATAGGAGAAAATTGTTGTAACCATTAAAAACACAAAGGTATTTTTATCAGTTGAAATGCTCTAAAAGTATTCTGAGACAAAATTATCCACTAAAAGTTTTCCTTAAATATCAGGGGGATCGCTTTGTTAAGTATATGATTGTCCAACCACTATGCTATACACCTAAAACAAATACAAATTAGTACTGAATGTGTAGTGTAATTGAAAATAAAATTTAAAATAAATAAATGTTTTTCTTAATACTTTGTATGAATGAAAGAAAAAATACGTTATTTGTTTTCCATATTTACGTGTTTGAGGCTTAAAAAAAATCTCTATAGTGTTCTCTCCTGTCATTCTTGTGAAATGATTTTGAGTGATTGTACTCACGTTGCAATTGCCTTTAATTTGTAAATATTTATGTTGTCATGTTTTGAAATATAAAATCAGTAAGTTTCTCATCAGAGTTGTCTGTCTGGACAGGAAAAAGTGGCATTGGGCATGAGGCATTATTAAAACGAAAAGCAGAGGAAAAGCTAGAAAGCTACAGGAGAAAGATTCACATGAAAAACCAAGCTGAAGAAAACGCTGCAGAACAGTTTCGGTAAAACTTCGTACTGGAGCTGCTTTTGGTTCCATCTTTTCATCAGTGTGGTGTGTTTTCTGGTGCTTGGCCAAGTAAAATGGATAAACAGAGTACAGAACTGTAATGTACTGTTATTTCTTTCCATTAGAATGAGACTTAAAAATAAGCAGGATGAAATGAAGCTAGAAGGAGATCTGAGAAGAAGCCAGCGGGCCTGTCAACAGCTGGATACTCAGAAGGCAAGCCTGCTACTTGCTTTCGGTTTGGTAGTGACGTGTTTTGGCACCCAGGATGGTTTGCCATGAGTTTATATTTTTAAAAGCCAAACCAGACAAAACACTCCAAGTCTGATATACCTGGTCTTCTACTGATTAAAGCTTTTACTCACCGTGTACTACTGATCTATGATAATTGATACAATAATGACTTGTTTATGGCAGGAACCTGAATAGTCTGAATTATCCAATAGGAGTTAAGTAGCATTTTTACCTTTAATTGTTCTCTGCTCATTTGAATGTTGATTACTCAGGGCTACTATGTGTCGAAATTCTCTTCCCCGGAATATCTGACTAGCCAGAATAGCCAGTTTTCAGTCCCTATTCAGCTCTTCATGTGTCTCTAAGTAGTAAGATCATGGTAGAATACCATATATTTCAGACCTGAATGACTTTTATTTTTTTATTTTTCTGGTTCAAAATAAAGTGACTTAATGAAATTTCTATCATCTTTACATAGATTGCTAGAAGTAATCTCTCATTTTTCTGTATTTCCCTAGCACTTTGTTTTGAATGTATGTCATGACTCTTAAGATTTTCTAGCTTATATGTATTATTTTATACCCATTAAGCTATTTATGCCATAGCTTATTTTCCCTACTAGACCGTCAGCAGCTTGGAGACAATATTCTAATTGGGTTTTGTATCCCCAGAGTTCATACCACAGCGCTTCAGTCTTGACGCTGCACTCAGTAAATATTTAATTGAAAGAATGAATTCATGTTGACATGAACACACAGGTGATAGTCTCATGTTTAGCTATGTTTAATTGGAAATAATTCTACATTTTCAGAATATTCAGGTTCCCAGGGAGGCCTGGTACTGGCTGAGGCTTGAAGAGGAGGCTGAAGAAGAGGAAAAGGAAGAAAACGAACAAGATGAAGATGAATATGACAGTGAAGATTTAAGCGTATGTTTTGGTACCATTTCCTTGATCGGGGTGTCTCACCATTGGCACTGTTAAGATTGTGAGCTGGTACTTGTTTGTCATGGAGTGCTGGCCTGTGCATTGTAAGATCTCTCGCAGAACCCCAGGCCTTCCCCAACCAGCTGCTTCCCTTGTGACAACCAAAAATATCTCCAGAAATTGTTAAGTGTACTGTGAGGGGAGGAATCACACCCATTTGAGAACTACGACATCTTAAGTTTATATCCCCAAAACAAAACTTCATATAATTTTTCCCTTTAGCTTCAGTTTACCCCCTCACCTCTGCTAGACAATGAATTAGCTGCACATGTAAATTATTTTCATTTCTACTTTGTTTCCTGATAAACTTGTGGAAGTGATCCACAAGCTACTCTAATGAGTACCTCTCTCACTCACCTGTAAACAAGACAAAACCAAAAAAAAACTCAGTTCTAAGGAAGTGGAGATGATTCAAGAAATAAATACACTGCGTGCACATTTCTGTGGTTACATGTATATAAGCATCTGTAGGGCACATTCAACATTGGAAAGATCCGTGTTCCACCTAAATGGGAGACCACTGATGAGAACATCAGTGGCACAGGGGGGCAGTGTTTACCCTCATCCCACTGGAGATGGTAGATCCTTTGAAAACAGATGGTTTCTAAGGATCCTGGCCTAATAGAGCAGCTAAATTCTATTTTCTGAATGTTAACAAGTGGCCCATGTTGTGTCTGGGTGACTTGTGAAACTGTCAGGGTAGCTGGTACACTGGGACACGTTCTAAAATAATTCTGCTTTTGGCATTCTCCTAAGGGCTGAGAGTGTAGTGGAAGAGGTGTGGCCCTGGGCTAATTCAGCACGATCCAAGAGGCAAGAAAACCAAGATTCTGTTCTACGTGAACCACTAATGTGCTTGTGTCCCATATCTAGGTACTGGACAAATTACAAATATTGACTAGTTATTTAAGAGAAGAACATCTATATTGTATTTGGTGTGGAACAGCCTATGAAGGTAAGAAAATATTTTAAACTATTTAAAAATATTGAATACAAATGCTCTTTGATTTTTAACTTTATTTTTTTATAAAAGTCACATTTTCCATAAATAATGGAAATTTCTTATTCTATCCAAATGGTAACGTGGAATCAATATCTTAAAGAAATAGTAGATATAGAAATAATTGAGGCCTTATTAAAAGTGTTTTTAACTTTTCAGAAACTGAACATGTGGAAGGGGATTTTTCAGTGTTTTATTTCAAAAGAAAGAATTTTGAATCACTTCAGGATGATAATTTTTTTCATGCTTTATTTTTAAAGAGCCTTTAGTTACAGGTAGTTGAAAAATATACTAAATTTTTAGTTAGATAGAATATTGCTCCCGAACCATAAAAATCAGCATGTTGAAATCCACTCCATTTTTTTTTAATTGTAAGAAAGAAATGGAGGACCTTGTACTTGAGAGTGAAGACTTTTCCATTGTTTCTTTAAAATCACCTCCCAGTGTGTTTAACAATAAGTAGCAAACGCAGCTACAAAATCCGTGTTACACGAAAATAATTTTCTAGAATAGTTTACTGTACATGTTGTATTGATCCTTTATGCCCCTCATGTAAATTACAGATAAAGAAGACCTGTCTTCAAATTGCCCGGGACCAACCTCTGCAGATCATGACTAAGATTAATCTCAATAAAGTAGAAATTTGGAAAATGCTGTTGCTGTTGTTTCCTATTCAGTTGAGCAGTTAGAATTCCCAGCTTTTTTTTATGCCTTTTTGTTTTGTTTTGTTCCTTGTGTACTTTAGTAGTTTGTACTTCAGAATGTACATTGTTCACTGATTTCAATAAAGTAATGGAATGCTATTTCGAAACACAAGTGTTACAGACATGGGCCACTACAATTTATGATTCTATTTTGATGCTTAGGAAGTTTGAAGACATCAACAAATAACTCTCTTTTTTCCCTCTTCACTTCGGAACAAATTGAGAAGACATGGGAGTCAGAGAGATACTAAAATACCATCTTTATGGTCAGTGACGCTGAAACAGAGAGCAAGGCCGACTTGGTCTCCAGCCAGGCTCCCAGACTGGAGAGGACAGCCGACCCCTGCCTCGCAGGGACACAGCCTGTCTTTGCATCCTGAGGCCAGTTAGCTTTCTAGGTGATAAAACCTTCAGGGACTGGGCAACCTGCTAAGTCCCTTCTCCCAAAATCGCAGCAAACAAGACACCCCTCTGTCGAGAGAGAATGAGTGACAGTTCACAGAGCTTGTCCCCACACTTCCCAGAGCTCTCTGCCTTCAAAGAGACCCTGCCCTTGCTGGATGGCTCTAAGCAGTTTTTAAAGTTATTTTTCCGTCTTAAGCTGAAATATGCTTTCCTATAATTTAACCAAGTACCGCTAAGCGCATACCGTGGCACACCTCCACAGGGCTCCATCGAAGGTTGGGTATCAAAATCGTGAGCTTTTTCACAAGCTCAGGTGCCTCCTCCAGTGACTCTGATTCAGCTAATCTCGGATACTTATTGGATAGCTATATTTATTATTTTAAAGTTCTAAGACTAAGTCTGATAGGCACCTGTGGGTGAGAATTAATGCTCTAGGTTAACTATATAGCACTACTGTTCTTGGGATAGGGTTGTAATCTTGCCTGTACAGTTTTACATCTCAACTTTCAGACGCATCAAGCAAGAGATCAACTTCCTTTTATGAGAAATAGCATGCACAAGAACATAGCAAAAGCTAGCTATACTGGCACAAGTGAATTAATAGCACATCTTGTTTTAGCCTTTGACTGTATGTGACCTAGTTCACTTGTCCTCTAGTTGAACTTGGGGAGCTTTAAAAACTAATACAAGGGTCCCACCTCCAGAGATTCTGACATAATTGGTCATTGTGGCCTTAGTGTCACTACCCTTGATTCTGTGATGCGGAAGAGCTTGAGAACCACTAACCTGGTTAAGTTCTGGATCTCAGTTCTTCACCCAGAAAATGAGTTATTTTTATAAATATAAATACATAAAATGCTGGAGTTATATATAGTGAGATAATACTGTTTCATATTTACTTGCTTCATTAATTAATAAAATTATATTAATAGCTAAAACAAAGGAGTACATGTGTTCCTCATTATTATAGTCAGATACTTTCCTGTTATTTCAGCCAACGTACCATACTCATGCGGTCAGTCCCAAAGCCATGCAGATTGTTTCACATGAAATGGAACCAGGAACTAGCTTCCAAGGTTCCAGGAACTAGCTACTATGGCAATAGCCCATCACCTGCCCAGTGGCGTAGAATATTTTGAGTATATTCAGAACAATCGTGAACAAGAATGGGAATAACCTTGCTGGACCCCATGACTCTGGGCCTAGGGCCTGCCTTGGAGAGTGGGAGACATCCTGCCATTCTTATCTACCAACGGTTAAAAATAAAGGCTTTCAATGTGAGCAAAAATATTTTTATTCATATAGGCCTTTTACAAGTTCACAACTAGACAATAATGAAAACCAAGGTAAGCAAAACACTGAATTTTTAAATTAGAACATTTATGTGAAATTTGAAACAAAGTAAATTTTAATAGCATGTTTACCTTTGTTTATATTATGCTGTTTATTTTCAAAGCCCTATCTACAATTTCTAAAATGTTTCATTTTCCTAATTTTATTTTTGTTTTTTTACTAAATTTACTGGAGTACCGTAGGTTAATAAAATTATGTAGGTTCCAAGTATACAATTCCATATCACATCACCTGTCATACTGTACTGTGTGTTCGCCGCCCCAAGTCAAGTCTCCTCCCATCACATTTAGCCCCCAAACCCTCTTCCCCGCCCGCCCTTTCCCGCTGGTAGTCACCCTACTGTTGTTTGTGTCTGAGTCTGTTTTGTTGTTGTCTTTGTTTTTCTTCTGCTCAGTCCCTTCACTTTTTTAACTAAATACTGGAGCTTCTAAAATTCAAAATAAATAGACTTCAGTGTAGCCAATTGATTTGCCTTACAGATACTTTACTTGGTGTTATTTACCAAACATTTAATTGTTGAAATTTTAAAGGAAACATTTGGTATTAGACACATTTTATAAATTCAAGCATGTGAAATTAATATTCATTCCCCTCTAACTCAAAAGCCCTTAATACTAAGTTTCTGCTGTATGCAGGGCAGCAAGCACACTCACAGCCTTGAGGTGTACAAAAATAAGAGTGCCTATCCCTGCTTTCCAGAAATTCACAGTATGTAGGGATAGCTGAGCTCTGAGGCAAACTGGTAAGAACACTGAGGTACTAAACAATGGGAGTACTAGGGCGAAGCCTCATTCTGCGTGGGAGAGGGAACACTATGGAAGAAGCACTGAATTTGGGTTCCAAACGTAACTTTGATATGCAAAGCGATGAGGAAGAAGTCACAATATGATCCAGTATTGGCACTCTTAGGTATATGATCAGGAGAAGTGGAAGCATGTCCACATAAAACCTGACCTGAACATTCACAGTAGCCTTGTCCCTAACAGCAGGAAAGGGGAAACCACCCAAATGTCCACCAACTAGAGAGTAAATAAAATGATAGAGCCAGTCAAAAGGAGTGAAGTACTGATCCATGCTACAACCTGAGTGAACCTTAGAAACATTACATGAAGTGAAGGGGACCACATATTGTATGATTCCATTTACATGGAAGGTCCCGAATGCAGAAACCTATATAGATAGATGAGTGATTGGAATTGGGGGAAGATGAGGAATGACTGCTAATGGACGTGGGGTCTCTTTAGGGGCTGACAAAACATGTTTTAAAAATGATGGTGGTCATGGCTGCACGACTCTGCATATATGTCACAGCGCTCTTTAAATGGGAGAATCAGAGGATATGCGAGTTACATCTCAGTCCAGTTGCTATTTAAACATAGGTGAAGGGAATTTCAGGTAGAAGCCATAGCAGACAGCCGCTGAGTGCAGAAGCCTACTCAGGTAGCCCAGAGCCGACCAGGGCGGCCGGGGCTTCTTCAGGGAACGATGCACACGTGTCACGGAACGGGAGCCTCCAGAAGGGCACAGCCCTTGACCTTAGCCCAGGGAAACGCATTTCAGACTTCTGGCCTGCAGAACTGTAAGAAACGTATTTTGTTTTAAGCCACTGGGTTTGTGGTAATTTATTGCAGCAGCCATAGGAAAGTAATATAGGTGCCAATCAAATTAACTCCAAAAGAGCCACAGATATTTGAGAGCGTTTTTTTTTTTAAATCCTCACTTGAGGATATGTCCAATGACTTTTTAGAGAGAGCAGAAGGGGGAGAGAGAGAGAGAGAGAGAGAAACATTGATATGGGAGAGAAATATCACTCGGTTGCATCTCACAGGCACCCTCGACTGGGGATCAAACCCGTGACCTAGGTATATGCCCTGACTGGGAATTGAACCCTCGACCTTTTGGTGTATGGGACAACATTCCCCAACTCACCCAGCCGAGTCACCCAGTCACAGCTTGAGAACCACTTTATTTGCCTCACAGTTTTACCTATTACACAGTTTTAAAGTTGTAGGCCACTCTACAGCTATCAACTACAGGCCCTTCACCTGAGAGCATTCCGAGGAACTCCAGGTTGGGACAGGTCACAATCACAGATAAAGAATCACAGGCCTTAAGGACGGGATTGGCAGTAGATATGAAGAGTAAATACCTAAAAGAAGACGTCTGCCTGCCATGCTTTGCTCCTTCGCCCTCTTTCCTGTAGAATCTCTCTCTTAGATTCAGAGTGAAGGCATCAGGGGTTACTTCTCAATAACATGCACTTCACTTCTGTGTATGATTCCAATCCATCCCTTCTGAGTTTCCGTCCTGTTTCCTACAGTATGCTTTACATCCTTGCCTGAACATTCTGGCAGCACCCCAAACCCGGTATCTCCAAGTGATATCCGACATTTTACCTCCCAAATGTGCTCCATCACACCATGTAGACAGATGTGTGGTGGCCCCGCTATTGGCTTAAATTCTAACTCATTAAAAACTATATAATAGGGCCCTGACTGGTGTGGCTCAGTGGGTTGAGGATGCAAACCGAAAGGTCACTGATTCGATTCCTAGTCAGGGCACATGCCTGGGTTGTGGGCCATGTCCCCAGTTGAGGGTGTGTGAGAAGCAACCGAACAATCTTTCTCTTGCAAATCGATATTTCCCCCTCTCCCTTCCTCTCTCTCTGAAAAAAAAATCTTTTAAAAACTGTGTAACAGGTAAAAGTGAGAAAAACATCCCTCAAATACATATGGCTCTTAGAGGGGTTAATTTGGTGGAAACCTATATTTCCTTTAAGGGCATCATATTCCTGTCACTCACCTTCAAACAAACCTGGAGATAACCTCTGGTGCTTACCTGTTCCTAACCCTTCACATCCCATTAGCTGCCAATTACTCCTGGTTTGGTCCCCTTCTATTAGTCAGGCCCTCTGAACCTCTCAGACTTGTCCAACTTCTCAAATATAGTCTCTTCCTGCTCCAACCCATTCTAGACACACTGCTTCAGGGTACCAGTTGGGTCACACCCCTGCTTAAAAATAAAAAAAATCTCACTTGTCATCACTGGAGGTTACTAGGGCACCGACTCATTCTAAAATTAGTAAGTTAAATATTTATCCCATCTTTCCCATTTGGCTGAAGACAAAGTTGTTCTTTAAAGAAGAATCACAGATGATAAATGCAAGAGAACTGACAGAATCCTAAAATCACTACTTTGTAACCTCTCATAAAACAATGCATCCAGACATTCACCAACGGTTGCGAAAACCTGCAGGTGAAGATGGACAGGCAGCCTTGAAACAGCTGGCACCACCACAGTCCACCGATCGCTCTGAAAACCACCCAAAGCGGAACAAGACAGCAGGCTCCTCCCGAGCGGCGCTGAAGAAAGCGTACAGCATCACTTATGAAGTGTTCTCGGGGAAAAAAGTTTCAAACCGGAATCAAATGAAGATTCTAGATCTAACTAGACACCGGGCGGATACCGTCAGCCAAATCCTGAATGGAGTAAATTCTACATGATATATATCCCAGTTCCTTCCTCAAATAAATGGCAAGAGGGAAGACGCTGAAAACAAGGGTAAATGTCACAGAGTAAAAGAGATCCTGATTGAAACGGCCCATAGGAAGGTATTGTTGAGATAGGAAAACCGAAGGCAAGCTGAACTATCAAATAATTTAAAACATCTCATTAATTTTGTTGAATGACAATGATATTATGGTTTTGTTAATATTAAAAAGATCTTGCCTATTAGACGTAAAGATCATTTTTAAGTATTTACAAGTGAAACAATGCCTAAATTTGCTTTAAAATATGTCAGCAAAAGAAATTTTTAAAAAGGGGGTAAATATAATATCCATATGTATCATACACACAGAGACATATCTTTCAAAATCTCCGCACGTGTATGTGTACTTTAATTTGCAAATAAGGTCCCTGGCCTCTGCCTCTCTCTTCTTCTGATTAAGAAGATATTTTTTATTTATTATAATTTTGAGGCTGAGAAAACATACAAATAAATAAAAGTTTCCAAGAGATGCTATATTTATTTCATCATAGTATACATATTAAAATCAGAAAATAAAAATAAGGTTACCTTCTTTTGAGGATAGACTTATTCATTATATCTAGATGATAGTTTTTTAGAAAAAAGATTTCTCTCCTTGCAGAAAAATTTCAAACCTACAGGAAAGTTCAAGGAACATGATGGAAACTCCTCTGTAACACACACCTAGATTTATCAGTTGTTCCATTGTTAACATTTCACCACATTTGCTTTCTCTCTCTCTCTTCACGTACACATTGATTTTGCTGAGCGTTTGAAAGTTGCAGACATGATGCCACATCAGCCCTGGGTCCTCCTGCATGCATTGCCCAGGAATGAGACACTGTCCTTCACGACCACAATATCATTATCACGCCTAATAAAATTAATGATTAGTCTGTGTCATCTAATATGCCATGCCCCTTGCCCAGACTTCTCGGGTGGTCGGTCTCGTCTCTACTCACTTAAGTCCCTTGCGGAGTGCCACTTGGAAGCCCTGTGCCATTATACTTCAGTAGAAAGTGATCTCAACCCTGCAGACTGACAATTTTCTATGCTTAGCTTGCCTTACACCACAGTTGCCATCTCTTTAAAGTGTTTGTTAGAATAGATACAAAATGTATTTTAGATAAAAAGAATAACTCTGTAGTAAACACTAGTAGACTCAACAACTGGTTTAAGAAAAAAAGTTAGCTGTAGCTCTGAAATCCACTTCCTTAGTCACACAACTCCCATCCCTTCTCAGAGACAACCCCTATCAGAATTTAATATTTCTCAACATTTCCTTCCCTTGTTTTTACCACATTTGTTTGGATTCCTAAACAAAATGATTTCATTTAGCATGTCGTGGAACTTTATATAAATGGAATCATTCTGTATGTATTTTCTGCAACCTGCTTTGTTGCTCAACATTATTCCTGAGAGATGTATCACGTTATACATTTCTCAGTACTCTGTTTATTTTCACTGCTATATAGTATTCCAAAGTGAATATAATACAATGTATGTATCCATTTTTCTCTTGATGGACACTAGTATGGTTTTCTATTCCTTTGGCTTTTACAAACAGGAATTCTATGAACATTCTTTTAGGCAGAATGTAGGAATTCTATGAGCATTCTTTTAGGCAGAATGTAGGAATTCCATTCTGGAATATACACATTTACCTTTAGAGGATACCAAATTATTTTCCAAAGTGACTGCATACAACTTATCTTGTTATGGTTACCATTTTCCTCCAACTGTCTCATTACCTATTTAAGACATGGGAAGATCTTATTTTTTTTTGGCCTACAAACAGTAGACATTTGATAAAGATTTATCAATTGTTTGATATAAAAAATTGAGGGATTTTTTTCCCCATCTTCATAATAAGAAGATGACCTGGGACAAAGTCAAAAGTGAAAACATTTTTGAAGTTAAAAAGTGCAAAACTTTCTGCAAATGTAGTAAAAAGAATTAGGGAGAAGGAAAAGAATCCCTAGCAGGTTGCAGACAGTCGCAAGGAAAGCGAGCATCAGAAGCAGGACACTTTTTCAGAAAGGCGCTAAAACGTGCTCCGCATCTTCCTCTCTCCGACGACACCCTTCTGCTCCCCCGCAGTCTTCCACACCTCCAAAGTCTTCAGTATTTCAGCCGTGTTAGGTCGTTTCTTGGGGTCAGCTGACAGTAATTTCTGTAGAAGACTTTTCTGTAATAACAGAAACAGCCATTATGAAGAAATAAAAGATTGAAATAAATAAAATTCGAATTATTTTCAAGTGCTTACTTCTTTGTTATCAAATTCATCGGGGAAAACACCATTCCTTAGATCTCGGAAAATCTGAAAAAAAAAAAAAAAACAACAACAAAAAAACCATATAACCATTCATGAGGAAATTACTCACTTGGGAGGAAAAACAAACATAGGAAACAACAAAGGCTAGGGCTATCCTAAATGTAGTACATTTTCAGATCTTTGGAGAGTCTCTTTAGCCAAGAAGTGAGCAGGACTCTCCTTCCCCACCCCTCCCATCCAATAAAATCTTTATGATTACAACATGTTGATGTGTCAAGGGTATCACAGGCCCTCTCTCCCTTCCTTTTGGAACCCTATACAACAGGTATTTTCATTACTTGTTTCACAGGGGAGAATGCCGTCGACTCCAAACGAGTCCCCTCTACTGAGCTTGAGACTGTGTAGCAGCTCCCCACTGCCTTCACGACAAAGCCCACATTTCTGCATTAGTTTAGCCCCAACGTGTCTTTCCAACCCCATCAACAGCCACTTCCTTATAACTTATATATTCCAATAAAAATATCAGACTCTGCCTAATATCCCCCAAAACACCCCGCACATTCCTGTCTCCATGCTAGAATCACCTTCTTTCTATTTTGGACTGCTAGAAGCCAACCAGTCAGTCCTTCAGAACCCAGCTTCGACTCCTCCACGAAGCCTAAATCCTTGCGGCTGGAAAGGTCTCCTCCTAGCTGCTTCCCTAAGACTTCATGCCTTCTCCCAAAACATTTGTAGCCTTCTCTGATAGTACCTACTTTCTAGAATATAAGCTCCTTGAGAATAAGGCTGATTCACTTTTGTAATCCTTGCAGCACTTATCACAGGGTCTCACGCCAAGCAGGCAATCAAAATTTTACTGACTGATTCAAAAAGGAATAAACAGCTACAGTTTTATGAGATGCACACACTTTAAAAAAAACAAGCAAATAAAGTTTTGGGCCCTTAACAAAAAGGGTTTTTCTGTTTCTTTGTTTTAACTTTTCAGGTACAGTTGAAATTCAGTCCCGACATGGCTTTTCCTTTATCTCCTTTGTTACAGAGGTTCTGTCTGGCTGGTCCTCAGGTGGTGTTCCAGGGCGGCTGCTCCAGAATTCAGCTGTAATATTGATGCAGTGGTGGGAGGAGATGAGCACACTGTTTACCTACTCCACCCTCTTGACCAGAACTAACAAAAAAATTTGGTTGCCCAAACATGAAAGAGATAAAAGCCATATTTCATTTGCAGGAAACACTAATATGTTCAAGCCCACCCTTCGATGAGGGCAATACGGTCCACCGCTGCACTTGGAAGATGACGACCAGTAATTCTTGTTGCCAAAGTCTTTCCGTGAGGTTACTTACATGACCCATTTCGGAACGAGTGGGCGGTATGTACAGAAGCTCTGCAAGAATCAGCCCTAAAGCAAAGATGTCCACTTCATTGCCGTATTCCAGTGAAGTCATCTAAAGAGACCAAATTATATTTACATTTATTATTTTGTAAACATCCATGCCTTCTGAAGCCAAAGAAGTTATTTGATCAAAATACGTTATATAACAGTGTTATGTTTGATCTGTGGAGTATGACCAAGTTCAAGTCTTTGTCACTAAGTACCTGAATCACCTGTGTAAATTAACCATCAACATGGGAATAATCACAACCATACAATGGGATAACAATAGTTTCGACCTCAGAGTTCAACTGTGGCGTTAAATGAGATGTGGCAGTTGAAACAGTTAAAATAGTTTCTAGTAGGTGCCTTGCATGCAAATGTTCATAGAAGATTTATTCATAATATTCCATAAGTGGAAGCAATCCAAATGTCCATCAGCAGGAGTATGGATAAACAAATCATGGTATACAGGCATGCCTTGTTTTATTGTATTTCATTGTACTGCATTTTCAAAAGTTAGATCACAAATGCATTCAGAAACACTTTATTGTGATGCGGGGTAGCAAATGATAATTGTTTTCTTTAAAGACTACTAAATTTGAATTTATTTAGAGAATGCTGTCTTCTACTTTCTTTTCTTTTCTCTCACCTGTTAGTGCCTTGACAAGAATTCGAATATAACATAAACGTGGTAGATAAAGCTGAGGCAAGAGACAGCACAGGAAGAGCTCTGAGACTGTGCTGCTGTTATTGGCCAGCATCTAGCATCCTGGTTGCCGGGAAACGCCTTTTAGCACTTCTGTAGGATGGATAGTAAATCCAGGTAGGGAGGAGGAGGGAGACACGTCTCACCCATTAACTCAGCAGTCCTGAGCCTGGTCTGATAATATTGCCAAGTGTTCCAGCATCACAAGAAATACTATGTTAGCAAGGAAGGAAGGAAGTCCTTGAAATTCTATGTAACACTTCCACTATCTGCAAAAGAAAGCCCTGAACTGTGTATTCATCCCAAGGCCTGGAAGGGGGAAGGGCAGGGGGTCCACAGTGCCCAAAGCAGCAGCCCATAAGACAACTTTGGTTAACTGCCTTCCTCCAGTCACTGTCTGTTTTACAAGTGAGTCCCTAATGCTTACAGAAAAAGCCCATAAGTAACTTTGGGTAACTGCCCCAACTTTAATTAACTGCCTCCTGTCACGTATCTGTTTTACAAGATGAACAAATGGAGTCTGGAGCACGATACAGATTCAGGCTAACAGACTCTCACACATACCTAAGTTTGGGTCATCATGTCCCCTGGGGAAAGCTGGCACCACATGTACCCATCAATCAACATGTAACTTCTTCACCCCATCCTACCAACTACATAAATCCTCAGGACAAAGGACCTGATGCTCTTGTCACCCCTGCTCTTGCCACCCTTGCCCTGCCCTGAACCTGTGCCTTTCACTCCCACCTTGGCAAGGCCTATTCTCTTTCATGAGAACACACCACTAGTAAACCTGCTTACATACTAATGGACTTGCTGATCTGTAATTCTTTACTGTACTGGCAAGAAGAACCAGGTTTCTCCCTAACAAAGCTGTGGCACTGTTTGAAAGAATTAACTACAATTTTGAAAGAAATCCTACTCTGTGTAAAATGCTATCAAACAGCATCACGTTGTATGGAGAAATCATTTGTGAAAGAAAACATCAATCATTGCAGCAAACTTCATTGTCTTATTTTAAGAAACTGCCATGGCCACCCCAAACTTCAGCAACCAGCTCACTGATCAGTCAGCAGCCGTCAGCATCAAGGCTAGACCCTCCACCAGCAAAAACATCACAATTCACTGAAGACTCAGATGGCAGTTAGCAATTTTAGCAACAAAGTATTCTTTAATTAAGGTAGTATGTTGTCTTAAAATATAATGTCATTGCACATTGGATAAGCTACAGTATAAGTATAGTGTAAACAAGTTTTATATGCACTGGGAAACCAAAAAATGTGTATGATTTGCTCTGTTGTGATACTTGCTTTATTGCAATTGTTGGAAAAGAACCCGCAATATCTCTGAAGTACATGCCTCAGAGGAATAGTACTCAGCAATAAAAGGTAATAATCTGCTAGTACAAGCAACAACTAGAGGTTCTCCAACAGACATTATTTTGAGTGAAATAATCAAATAGAAAAGAATACATCCTGAAAGACTCCATTCACATGAGGTTCCAGAACAGGGAAATTCATGGTGATAGAAATTAGAGCACAGGCTGCCTCTGGGTGGTGGGGAGGAGGGACTGACTGTAAAGAGCCTGAGGAAATTTTCTTGGGTGAGGATAATATTCTACATCTTCCTAAGCTTGTGGGCTTCAGAGGTATATGTTTTTGTCAAAACTAAAAAACAGACATTTAAGATCTGTACATTTTATGCTACATAAGTTATAAATTACATAATAAATGCTATATAACCTGATATACATAGAACCTTTCATCCTAAAGAAGAAAAATACTCATTCTTTTCAAATGCGCATGGATCATTCTCAAGGACAGACCACATGACAGGACACAAAACCAGCCTCAGCAAATTAAAGAAAACTGAAATTATATCTCAGACCGCAAGGGCCTGAAACTAGAACCAACCTCAAGGAAAACACTCAAAAACACTCATATTCATGGAGACTGTATATCATGCTATTAAACAATGAATGAGTTAATAATGAGACCAAGAAAGAAATCAAAAAGTTTCTGGAAACAAATGATAACAAACACAACAGCCCAAAACCTATGGGACACAGATCAGCAATTTTGAAAGGGAAATTCATAGCAATACAGGCCTACCGAAAAATGGTAGAAATATTTCAAATAAACAAACTACTCCTACATCTACAAGAGTTGGAGAAACAACAACAAACAAAGCCCAGAGCAAGTGGAAGGAAGGAAATAACCAAGAGCAGAGCAGAATTAAATGACATAGACAGTAAAACAACAATTCAAAGGATCAATAAATCCAGAACTAGTTTTTGAAAAGATAAACAAAATTGACAAGCCTTTAACCAGACTCTTCAAGAAAAAAAGAGAGAGGACCCAAATAAATAAAATCAGAAATGAAAGAGGAGAGATTACAACTGATATCACAGAAATACAAAGGACTGTAAGAAATTACTATGAACTATATGCCAAGAAATTTGAAAACCTCAGTGAAATAGATAAATTCCTGGAAAAATATAATCTTCCAAAATTGAATAAAGAAGCAGAAAGTCTGAACAGTAATCAAAAAACTACCAGCACACAAAAGTCCTGAACCAGACAGTTTCACAGGAGAATTTTATAAAACATTTAAGGAAGAGCTAACCCCTATCCTTCACAGACTATTCCAAAAAAACCAAGAAGAGGGAAGACTCCCAAAATCTCTTTATGAGACAAGCATCATCCTAATTCCAAAACCAGGTAAAGACACAACAAAGAAAAAACTTCAGGCCAGTATCACTGATGAACACAGACACTAAAATCCTCAACAAAATACTGGCAAACCGCATCCAACAATACATTAAAAAGATCATACACCATGACCAAGTGGGATTCATCCCAGGGATGCAAGGATGGTACAATATTCACAAATCAGTAAATGTAATACATCACATAAACAAAAGGAAAGACAAAAACCACATGATCATATCAAGAGATGCGGGAAAAGCATTTGACAAGGTACAGCACCCATTTATGATAAAAAACACTCAGCAAAGTGGGAATAGAGGGAGCATACCTCAACACAGTAAAGACCATATACAACAAACCTACAGCCAATACCACACTGAATGGGCAAAAACAAAAAGCTTTCCCACTAAGATCAGGAACAATACAAGGATGTCCACTTTTACCACTTCTATTCAACATAGCACTGGAAGTCCTAGTCAGAGTGATCGGTCAAGAAAAAGAAATAAAAGGCATCCAAGTTGGAAAGGAGAAAGTAAACTGTCATTGTCTGCAGATGGCATGATAGTGTACAGAGAAAACCATAAACACTCCACCAAAAAACCACTCGACCTAATAAGTGAATTTGGCAAAACAGCGGGATACAAAGTCAATATTCAGAAATCAAAGGCATTTTTGTACACCGACAATGAAATATCAGAAACAGAAACTAGGAAAAAAAGCCCATTTGATATACAACAAGAAAAATAAAGTACCTAGGAATAAACCTAACTAAGAGGGTAAAAGACCTGTACTCAGAAAACTACACAACAGTGAAGAAAGAAATTAGGGAAGACTCAAACAAATGGTAGCATATACCATATTCATGGACTGAAAGAATTAACATCATCAAAATGTCCATACTACCCAAAGCAATTTATAGATTCAACGCAATCCCTATTAAAATATCAATGACATATTTCACAGATACAGAACAAATATTTCAAAAATTTATATGGAACCATTAATGACACCGAATAGCTGCAGCAATTTTGAGAAAGAAGAACAAAGTAGAAGGGAATCACAATAGCTGATATCACACTATATTACAAGGCCACTATAATCAAAAGAGCCTGGTACTGGCATATGAACAGACACACAGATCAGTGGAACAGAACAGAGCCCAGAAATAAACCCATGTCTCTATGGTCAATTAATATTTGACAAAAGGAGCAGAAGCATAAAATGGAATAAAAATAACCTCTTCAACAAACGGTGTTAGGAGATCTGGACAGCTACATGCAAAACAATGAAACTCGACCACCAACTTCCACCATACACAAAAATATACTCAAGATGGATAAAAGACTTATATATTAAGTTGCAACACCATAAGAGTTCTAGAGGAAAACAAAGGGAGTAAAATCTCAGATTTTCCATGCAGCATACTTTCACTGATATGTTCCCTAGAACAAGGGACATAAAGGAAAGAATAAACAAATGGGACTTTATAAAAATAAATAGCTTCTGCATGGCTAAAGAAAACATCAGCAAAATGAAAAGGGAACCAACCATATGGAAAAATATATTTGGCAGTGATACCTCAAACAAGGGTTTGATCTCCAAAATAGATAAAGATCTCACATGACTCCACTCCAAAAAGACAAAAAACCCAATTTA